CCATCTTCCTCACTTGTTATTTCTAACTATTGCAATGTTTGTTCAATTTTATGTAAAAGTTTATTTTCTGTTATCAGTGTTTTTAGATTAAAACAATATGATTCCAATAAATTTTTTGCTTGAAGACGATCATATTTTTCATCAGCTTCTTTTCGATATTTTTCACAATCTGTTTTCATTTGTTTTATTTCATTTTTGATAAACAATTTTTAGCATCAGTCACTAGAACAAGATATTCTTGGCCAGTTGTTTTATCAATGACCTGTACATTCAATGTGCCGTTATTGTCAATGTCAATAGTTACTTCTATTTGAGGATCTGTATTTGATGCTGATCTATTCAATTGAGATAAACCTGTTGCACCATTCAAATGTTGACCGTCCATTAGTTCAATAATTTCCAATAAACAATTATCTTTTGCCATTGGATGTTCATCTTCGAATAGTTTGATTTCTAGGCCGCAGTTAATTGCAACTGATTGATAATTTTTGGAAATTGCGAATATTTGTGTTTGCTTTGCAGTAATTGTTCTATTCCGCCTTATTATTGGCGTCATAATTCCCTCCGTTACTTCAACCCAGCGTAAATGCTTGTACGTCTAATAATAAATGGTTCAGAATACTTCTTGAATAATCATCAGTTAAAATAGCTGCTTAAATAGCAGCACCACAAGCAATCGATTCATTGGGATTAACTGATTGATTCAGTTTCTTTCCATTGAAAAAATTTTCTAATATTTCTTGAACTTTTGGGATTCGAGTTGACCCGCCAACTAGGACAATTTCATTAATAGATGCTTTGTCTAGCTTTGAATCGTGCAACGCTCGTTCGATCGGTTGAAGAATAGAACGAAATAAATCAGCTACAGACAAAATAAAAACGCTAATAGAAATTTTTTGCATATGGTACGCAATGTTTTTATTTACATTGGCTTTTACGCTAAAAATCGTATAACTTCAAGAGATGGAACTCTTAGCTTTAGCTTTATTTTCCGGAGTATTTGGAAAGCAAGTATGTCAGTATTCATTTGTTTCTCTATGCACCTTCCCAGTCGATTTTTGTGCGAAAGTCGCGGCACGACTCGCCATATCGCGAATCGTGCCGCGATAATACAGCGACCGCGCTAAGAAATATTCACTTGGTTTTTTGAAAATTTATCAACTTTTCAAGCCCGGCCGCGAGATCGCGAATCCATAGTGATTGCGCCGCGACATACCGACAGTATAGCAATCGCGCCGCGAATATGAATCGTGTAGCGAATCTTAAAAAAGGATTTTTTTAAAATAAGATTAGGTCAAGATCGCGGTGACAGTTTAAGAATTCAGCGCGATCGCGATGGGAATACAAGATTTTTTAGCGATCGCGCCGCGACTTAGCAAGTTTTGAAGAAAAGCTTGTTGCAGCAAGAGTCGTGGCGCGACTAAGCAGAGTACGTCTGATGAAATTCGCGATCACAAGACTCGCACCGCGACATCGCGAACTCACCATCACTCTTAAAAATTCGTTTTCTCTCTCAATAAGACTTTTTCAAGATCCCGCCACGACTTCGCAACACAATAGCGATCGCGCCGCGACAACGGGAGCTCATATCGATTCCTTGCGCGACATCACGTACGCGCCGCGACTAGGGCGCGAGAGTCCACCTGGATTGTTACGAAGAGATAAAAATATTTTGGGCGATTCAAGCAAAAGAAATGTGTTTAAGAGACGACTCATGAGCGGATCGAGCACTTGTAATGAGAGCCATCAAACGTAACATATTTTTGTTTGTTTAGTAGTCTCCATCAATTCTTCATAAAAATCTGTGTAGAAGAATTCTTTTTAAGGCTTTGAAACTCTTAATAACTGAGAAATTAATTTTTTTTCTAAATGCACCATCATTTTTTATTCGAAATCGGTTTGATTATAGGTAAATTTTGATGTTGATGTTGAATTTGATATTGACTTGATCCATTACATGTTTCCACCATGAATATCTCTACATCCTATCTCTGTAGATCTGTCTTAAAATCTGGGATGGGAAAGTTGTGATCTGTCAAGATTGTAAAACATGTCGAATTACTTATAGCAGAAACTTTTCAGATCTAAGCAATGAGTTTTGGCTGAGATACGAAGTGTTTATGAACTATAATGCAGAAACTTTCCAAATTCATATACCATACTTAGTAAAAATTTTTATATAAGTAATTCGACATGTTCGGTAATCTGGACAGATCAGAACCTCCCCATCTCAGATTTTAAGACGGACCTACAGAGACAGCATGTCGAGAGATCCATGATGGAAACATATAAATTTAATAACCCAAATCAATATCAAATTCGAGATCAGCATCGACAGTTACCTACAATCAAATAGGTTTCAAAGAAAAAACGACTCTCGCTAGAGAAGCCGTCAAAATTCGTAGGGGTGAATATTTTCTCCGATAAGAGGATAGGAAAAAAATTCGAAAAGACATTTATATCAGAGAAACGAGTATTGTTCAAACGCGTGTACAGGATTTACTTTCCGTCTATTACTGGCCAAAAACTTCAAAAGGACAAGGCATACACGTGACCATGGTGGTGAGAAGATGA